ATCACCATCATAGGGATGTATCACCATCATGAGGATGCATCACCATCATAGGGATGTATCACCATCATGGGGACGCATCACCAGCATGGGAATGCATCACCATCATGGGGACGCATCACCATCATAGGGATGTATCACCATCATAGGGACGCATCACCATCATGAGGATGCATCACCATCATAGGGATGTATCACCATCATGGGGACGCATCACCAGCATGGGAATGCATCACCATCATAGGGATGTATCACCATCATGAGGATGCATCACCATCATAGGGATGTATCACCATCATGGGGACGCATCACCAGCATGGGAATGCATCACCATCATAGGGATGTATCACCATCATGAGGATGCATCACCATCATAGGGATGTATCACCATCATGGGGACGCATCACCAGCATGGGAATGCATCACCATCATGGGGATGTATCACCATCATGGGGATGTATCATCATCATGGGGACACATCACCATCATGGGGACGCATCACCAGCATGGGAATGCATCACCATCATGCATCACCATCATGGGGACACATCTAAAATAATCTTCCTCATTCACCGTTTCCAGGTTGGCAGGGAAACGGCTACAGCTGTCAAGATGTGGATGAATGTTTGACCAACAATGGCGGCTGCTCCTCTGCTCCAATGGTTCAGTGCCTGAATACTATGGGCTCCTTCCACTGTGGGTCCTGCCCTCCAGGTATGTTGCAGTGGTAGATCTATATAGATGTACAGATAAATGACCATGGATGGCAGACAGGACCTCTATGACCCATCATTACTGAATGTCATTATTTTGAAAAAAAGACATGAACCGTGATGTTTTCTTTGCTCAGGCTATGAGGGGGATGGGAGAACTTGCACCCAGGCTAATATCTGCTCTTCCAACAATGGAGGATGTCATCCTTTAGCCACCTGCACATCCACCACAGGTGAAATCTCTGATTCTAGGACAGTCTTTGTCATTTAACCTGGCTGCAGAGAGAAAACAGAAAGACATCCAGCATCAGTCCAACGCCTCATGGAATAAATCAGCAGGTTTTTTAGATGACTGATTAAGCATAGAGCAAAGTTAACCAGAGTTCTCTGTTCTGCTCCTAAACATGTACCAGGTTCATCCTTCCCTACATGCACATGCCCAGAAGGCTACACCGGCAATGGCTATGGTCCCAGCGGCTGCACTCACATCAGCAACATCTGTCAGACTAACAACCCCTGTGTGAACGGACAGTGTACGGTAAGACTGCAGCACAGACACCTGTTCTTCCCTCTGACACCACCAAGGCTTTAAGCTCACTGATAACTGATAGTTATGCTGCCATCTGCTGGCCTGAAGACCCATTGCAAGTTTTATTTTATAGAAACAGCTCAAATATAAATCCAGTATAATTCAGGAACTCATGTGGATCCATTAGAGGTTCAAAGCCGAGAAACAAACAATGTCTGATTACTTACAAATGACAGGATTTGATTAATTTAATTAGTGGGTTCCTCTCACCTGGACTCCACTAGGAAATTTATAAGCTTTATAAAAGCCAGCCTCTTAAATGAAATATTACAGCAAATAAACAACAGGACACTTTTAAAGTGAGGTTTGAAATTCTATCTTCATACAGTTTTGGGTATTTAAACATTCATTTGTACAAACATGAATAAATATCGTCATGCAAGTTAACAGAGAAATCACAAAGCTGCTGCCTTAATACTTTGCTCTCTGCTGCAATTGCCTAATCTCTTTCACAGAGAGAACTCCTAAAGGTCACACAGACCTTCATAGCACCTCAGGAGGCTAACATGTTACCTTCAAATGTTTGGGACAATGTCTGCTTCCTGGATGGATGGGCTCCATGAGAAGGACAAGGGTTGGGTCAGGGTTTGACCAGGTAGATCGATGAACGGGGTCCCTTAGAAGGACAAGGGTTTGGTCAGGGTCAGAGTTAGACCATGCAGCTCGATGGACGGGGTCCCTGAGAAGGACAAGGGTTTGGTCATGGTCAGGGTTATACCATGCAGCTCGATGAACGGGGTCCCTGAGAAGGACAAGGGTTGGGTCAGAGTTAGACCATGCAGCTCGATGAACGGGGTCCCTGAGAAGGACAAGGGTTGGGTCAGAGTTAGACCATGCAGCTCGATGAA